CCTTCTGGGTATTTGCCAGATTCTGGTTTAATAGGTCTGGGGTGAGACCCAGGTTATCAGCATTTTTCAAAGTTCCCCAGGAAATATCGATGTGAAGTCAGGGCCTAGGCAGTACCTCCCTGCTCTGAGCTCCTGTGGTGCCAAGATTTACATCTCCTGGGCCTCCTCCCTCTGTCTCATGCCTCAGGCCCTCCCACTTCTTCCTCTGCTGAAGGCTCAAGAGAGTGTGACTGAACGGCCTTGCCAGTTGTGTATAGTTTCCTATTTCTGCTATAATCAGTGACCACACATTTAGTGGCTTAAGCAATACACACTTACTGGCTTACAGGTCTGGAGGTCAGAAGTCCAACTCAGGTCTCCCTGGGCTAAACTAAGATGTCTTCAGGGCCGTATTCCTTTGGGAGGGCTCTGGGGAGAATCCATTTCCTTGCCCTTCTCAGCTTATGGAAGCCGCCCACATCTCTTCCTGATGGCCCCCTTCCTCCATCTTCAAAGCCAGCCATTGCATTTCTCTGATCATTTTTTCATAGTCATGTCACCTTTTAATTGACAGTAGCTGGGAAAGGTTCTCTGCTTCTAAGGAGTCAAGTGATCAGATTGAGACTCCCAGATAATCCAGGATAATCTCCCCATTAAAGTCCTTAACTGTAATCACACTACAAAGTCCCTTTTGCCTGATGAGGCAGCATAGTCATAGGTTCCAGGAATTTGGCTGTGGACAGGTTGGGGGTGCTGTTATTCCACCTACCGCATCAGACCTGACACCTCAATTCTTCCCTCCACTGGTTGTCCCACACTTGGTGGTTTAGCTAATCCATGGTGGCCTCTGGGCTTCTTTCCTGCTTTTGGGGCAAGGGCAGGAAGGGAAGCTTCGCTGAGTGCATGACTGAGGGTCTTCAGTCTGGGGCTGAGAATTAAGAGAAAGGAGATATGGCCCAACTCAGAGCCACTCCCTAAAATACAGGGCAACTGCCGCAGAACCATGAGCAAGTAAAAGTCTATTTCATTTTTAAATGAAGAGACACCAGCATTTTGCTTTTTTCTAAAACTGTTTTCCAATGTTGACATCCTCAGGTTGATCATAAAGTTCAGAAGAACATGTGCAATTCTGTTACATTTATACTGAAACCGGACTAAAACGAAGTCGGATCTAGGGGGCGTTCAGCTCCCATGGATGCAGGCTGCAGCTAAAACACAAGCTGCTTGGCCTCATTCACTCTCTTTGCTAGAGTTCTACTAAGAGTTACTGGCTCTGGCTCTTCTTCGTTTAGCCTTTTAGTAGGTGTTAAGTGCAATCACGAGTCTGTTGGCCGTATAATTATAAAGTAGAATGTGTGTGCAAGGCAAGGGCTTGATCCTTGGCCTTTTGTTCAAGCACAGTGTCTCAGGCTTCAGTTTGGTGAAGAGCTTCAATCATCAGAAGATTTCTAGGCAGATGAGCAAAATCTTTCCTTTGAAGTGAATTTTGTTTGACATTTCAGGGATTAACCCAAGATGTCATATCTGCCCTTTCCCCAGTGGTCATGCATTTAGCTATGTGTTCTTGGGAAAGTCACTCAACCTTTCTGAGTCTGTTCCAGATGCCACCTCTCTTTCTTACTGGAGGTATGTGATGATTTTGGAAGGAATGCTTGTAGTTGCTGAAAGGTGAGTGCAGTTGTGGGTTCTGAGGTTCTGCATGCGTCAGGGTAGGGGTGAGGAGGTGGGAGAGGGAGCATGCCAGTATCACCGTGGTCGAGGTTCTCCCGGTGGTCCTAGACCAGAAGTAGAACTCAGCCAGTGCAAGGTGAAGTTATGGAGGAGCAGAAACCAAGAGGCTGGCAGAAGATGATGCTGGTCTACTGAGAGGAGAATCGAGTAGACCAGCAGAGAGACATGGGAAAGAAGGAAGGAAGGAATGACTGATGTCTTGTCGGTCCTGTGACGTAAGCCTCCCTTCACTAGGCTACCAAGACTGGTTTTCTGTTTCTTGTACCCAAAAGATCTTTGCATAGGATACTTAGGAATCAGGATGTGGAATGAACATTGCATTTTGTAAATCAGACCATTTTTATACTTCTTGTATATTTTTTTCTTTTTGCCTTTTGTTTCCTGTTAATGGCTAGGACGAGTCTTTTCAATTCTAAATTTCAAAGTCTAAATTTAGACATAAAAGTCTAAATCCTGACTCAGCTCTCCTAAGAAAAACCAAGGGAAGGAATTTTCCAGGGGAGCCATGTAGACCCATGAGAAGCCTGAGGGAGGGGGCATTCCCAAGTACAGAGTCCCCACTCCTTGACCAGCTCCTGCCCTACCTCAGCCTCTCCTTCGAGTGCTTGTTCTCCATGGCGTGGTCATTTCTATTTGAGCCTCATTTCCTCGCTACCACACGAGGAGGAGCAACTGGGAACTTTCTAGGGCTGCAGGGCTCTGTGATTCTCAGGGGTTCGTAGAGTGGGCATTGGAATCGGTGAGGACCCCAAATGCCGTGAGAGGAGTCAGATTCCCAGCCAGCCCAGCACTAGCCCCTCCTGCTTTTCCTTTTCCAGAAACGCAGGCCCAGTTCCGGCATCTACCTCTGTCTCCTTACCCTTTCCTGCCTCCCTATCTAGGCACCAAGACCGTTTGGCAAAGAAAAGATTGGAGGGAACCACCCAGGCGAGGAAGTCAGGCAGCTGAAATCAAAAGCAATTTCAGCCGGGTACGTGGATTTCCTCTCCGGCTTCATCACATCCTTCTAACGTCTCGCTCCGATTCATTTCGTTCCTTGCATTGCACCGGTGGATGTGTAACCTCAGTGCATGTCATCATTGATCAGCCCACCTAATCGAAACCTGAGGTCAGAAGGGAGAGGTGGCTCGTCCAGTCTGTTAGCCCAATATTCATTTACTGGATGTCTTCCGAGTTCAGAGCGGGTCACTGAACTGCAGGATGCCGGGGCTGGCAGAGTCCTGACAAATCATCCACTCCGCCCACCCCTACTTTACAGCCGGCAGCACTTACATGGAGAGGTTAAGCGACTTGCTTAAGGTCACACAGCAAAGCTAAGGCCACATTTCAAGACAGCCTGCCACCAGTTCACTGTGCTTTCCAGTCCACCCTGTCGCTGAAGGAGGGTGAACATGATTGATTCGTTTGTATGAGCAGTAAGTGAAAGAAAACAGACACCTTTCCCTTAATGCTCTAAATGAATAAGGACCCCAGGTGGAAAAAAGATGCATAGCAAAGGCATTTTTAGAAAGTGGAATTGGAAAGTGTGGGGATAAACTCTTCCCTGCTAATGGTGGTCACGTTAGAAAAGCGTGGGGGAAAGGTTTTTCTGGGGAGGGGTCTTTCTTGAATGGTTTCTCCTTCCCAGCTACATTTGTTCTTTCGTCCGTGTTCTCATCAGCACACGACACTATTCTGCTGCCATTTTTCTTTCCCTTGACATATTGATCACCTTATTTTCATATTATGCTATAAACTTTTGTATACGCAGCTTTAAAAGCAGCTATTTTTAATGCAAGATGGCACACCAAGCTTTGGACCCCCCAATTAAATTGAGGGACATCTGGCACTAAAATTCTTACATTTCCTCCCTAGAGAAGCCTGCTATCCATTTGCTATCTTTAAAAAGCGACATAGGAATGAAAATAGGTTGACATTTTGAAAACAAGAAAACAATGACCAAAACCCTTTTTCTATTTCAAGGTAAAATCCTCAAGACAGATCATTTGACATTGAGAGTTGGCATTTGTAGCAATTGGTTATTTTCATATATTTGACTCTAACTATATACAAATGCCAGTTAACTCATCTACTAATTTTTCTTCACAGGCATAGAAGATAGTATTAAATGTATTATTGGAATTTAATTCTAAAAATACAAATGTTACATGTTCTTATGAAAAGAGAGGATTTTTGTTTATTTCTTTTGACAGCTCAAAAATTAATATTCCAGTGTCTCTGATATAACAACCTGAGTTATAATACTGCTCTGAGAAATCCACAGGAAGTGTTTGAAGGGTCTGGGGACCCCCTGGATGTTGTCAGATATGCATGTTTTTAGTTTTCAGGAGGAACAAATAAGCTGTGATTGTCGCTTCTGAGCAGAGGCACTAAGGTCTACGCCAGTTTCCACTTCTAAGGTTTAGCTGAAGGTCTATGGGGGTGGGGGAGGTGGGGGTGTCATGTTGTGTCCAACTGTCCTTTGTGGAAAGTGAGGTAATTATCCTGCCCTTAATGGTTCTTGGTCAAACGTTGTCTTATTATTTAAGATTTGTACTTGCTTTGTCTTTTCATTGTTTGCTTATTATCTGTCCATATCTGTATATCTGTTTTAGGGTGAAATCTATTCATATTTGAAATAAGGTTGACTTATTAGCCCAAATAAGAGAAAAGGTTGAGATTGGTTGCTGATATGCACCCTCGATTTCTACCCCAACTAAAATAACAAAATGAATTGGGGACAGTCACCTGGGTGCTCAGCCAAGTGATGGAGACTAGCCCCCTTCCCACTCTGTCTCCCCATTGCCTGGTGAGCTTTTCCAGTTCCAGTGCAAAGGCCTAAGGTATCTGTTGAAAGAGAACGTTTAACCTAAAGCATCGTGTTGTCTAGGCATCTTACCTTTAGGTGGATAGGTGAGAGACAGGGTACAGCCACTCAGACAAATGCTCTAATAGTCAGGGTTGAAAGGGATCTACCTTGATCTACAGTTGAGGAAACTGATAATGAGAGAGGTGAAGGCCTAGCTCAAGGTCACACAGCTGAGCTAAGACTTGAACCCAGAGTCCTAATTCCTAAATGAATATGTTCTCTACTAATCACAAGTGCAAATGCCATTTACTTACAGGTGTTTATTAACCTGTTCTTTTCTTGTCTCAGATTTCTTAAATGGCATCTGGACTGCTTCGGTTTCTTTCATTTTCATTTATATTAGGGAAGAGAATGAATTTGTGCCCTAGGATGTGTTGGTATTATTTGTGGCACAAAATTAAGTGTATGGTATCACCTGGTTTCTGATCAGAATGGCACTTACCTATACTGAACAACACCCATCAGTGGACCAGCAGGGCCAATGTCAAGAGCTTGCGCAATGTCAGCCAGGAACTGCTTCTGGATTCGGAATCGGCGTTTGCCAATGCTTGCACTCCCATCCATTAAAAACGACAAGTCAACTTTGCAGTCTGAGGAATGGAAAGGGGCTGTTATTCTGGTTACTTCTCATTGAATTCACCTGTGCATCTTCTCCCCTCTTTCTCTACCAGAGCCCCCTGAGATTCGAATGGAAAGAAAGTGAAAAGAAGTAGTAAGATGCAGGGAGTATTCATTTATTTACATCCATAACAGATTTTTGCTGGGCATCAAGGTCCTAGACACTTGGGTTAGTACTTATCACCATAACTGTTTCAGCATTCTCTGCATCAGCCAGAGTTATAGATTTCCCGGTCAAGTTTGGGAAAGTCCTCAGAATGGTTTCCCAGGCTCAGACCACATAAGGGCAGACACTCTGATGTGGAAATTCACTAAGATTGAGTCTCAGGAGCTATGGTCTTCACTCTCATTCTAACTCGTTAGAATCATGTGTTGAGTCTTTATAGAGGTGTGAAAGAATCTTTAAGTCCAATGCTGAGGGGCAAGGTTTGTAGAATGAGAAATTGATACCAATCTTCTCTCCTTCACTTCTCTGGCTGAAGCAACTATAGAAATTATCCACATATATTTACAGATATGTTTGTAGCTATCTTATATTCCCCCCTCCTTTCTTTTAGTCATGATAACGACTAGATCAATTCTGGTTAGTATCTCTGGTTATGATGGAGGTGGGGAGGATAGTGGGTCTGCAAGCTATTTTTAACTTTTCAAACACTAATAGGAATTGAAGGAAAACTACATAAACTAATAGAAGTGGTTGTCTTCTTTGCTCTCGTCTGAAATGATATCATTTCAGTAGGATAAAACCAATTCAATGCTGATCAGAAGTTCTTATTGGGAGGTATATAGCCCTTTGATTAATAAAAATTGAGGAATGAATTATTTAACAACTGTAATTTGGGAGACAAAATATTTCAAAACAGAGTTCTGTGGCGGGGTGGGGGAAAGTGAGTAAAGTTAGGAATTTCTGGGCTTGTGCATTCAAGAGGTCATTTGGGCTGCCCTTTGTGGGCGGGGGATGCAGCTGCCAGGACAAGCATGGATCTCTAAGTGCTGCATGACCACCCAAGCGCGCTCTGCAGTTTCTGTTCCCTACATTGCATGTTGCCTTGCTTCCACGGGATGAAGTCTTCCCATTCTGCAGAAGGAGAACCACTGCAGGCAGTGAGGGTGTTTTTTAAAAATGAAAGCAAGAAATGGACATGAATTGACACAGTTTTAAGCAGGATTGTTGAGCAATATTTATTAAGGAGTGAAACTACAGAATTGGCAGATTAAGGAAAAAAGTTATATCTGAGAATATGCTTTACTATCTTGCAGTGGTTCGTGGCAATCAAAACCAGAGAAGTGGCTATGACAGGGACCTCTCTGGGCTTGGCTAACTCCACTCCATCTGGAGTTAGTGCATTGGCTCATTAGCTGATCTTGCAGACTTTTACTTCCTGTCTGTCTGGGCAGTGACTCTTCCTGTTCAGCTGGTTTCTCCTGTCCTTCCTGCCCCCAAACTGCCCATGCCCAAGGATGATCCTTGAGATAAGGATTGGAGAAAGCAAATAAATCAAGAAGTGGAGTTGAAAGATGTCGCTAAAGGCTGGGATAAAGCAAAAGAGAAGCAGAACTGCTTATGTCTTGTCAGGAGGTTGTACCCCAAACGGCTAGTTCCTTTTTTCCTAGAGTCAGGCTTGCAATGTTAATTATTACCAGCAGGTGGCAGTGGTGTTCTTTAGGGCTTGCTGCCCACTGGCACCTAGGGTTTGCTGGAAATGTGACTCTCAGGCTCCACCCAGACGTACAGAATCAGACTTACATCTTAGCAAGATCTCCAGGTGATTCATGTGCACATTAACGTTTGAGAAGCACTTCTGAAGAGGGGTTTTCCTTCCAGATGCCAGCAGAGTAGTTTAATATGCCTTTTTAAATGAGCACTTTTGGGGGGAATAACTTAATTAGATTAAAGGCCAAAGGGGACTTTCTTTTAAAATGAATAGAGTGGAATACATAGATTTTGTAGTCTCTGTTTTGGTTCTTCTTGGACCATTGTTTTCTTCCTTATTTATTTCTTACATCTTGAAATGTGTTCAGGATGGGCATGTTCATTTTATAGGTAGGTTTTAAGAAAGTGAGGTGGTTTTCTATTTGCTTCTCTTCACTCACTAGCCTAATGGCTGTTATTGGGGTGGCCTCTGTTCTCCTTTTCCCCAGAATGTTTTAATGACAATGGTTCTGTCTCAGAGCATGTGCTCACTGAGACCAAGCGGCTTTTTAATATTGGAATAACAACATGCTGATCTGAAGATGACAATGTCAACTGAAGAGGAGGATTAGGTTATGAAATGTTTAGAATGAGTGATTTATTATGGTCATAGAAGATAGAGGTTGGAGGATGAGGAAGAAAAGACAAGCTATATTGTCTTCAGGAATCAATCTACCAATTTTCTTAGTTGTTTTGGTTTTCTCCAGCAAGGTACAATTTTATAGATTAATGCTTCGTGTTGGTCAGTACATTAGGCCAGTGTTTCTTAACCCTGGTTAAGTATCAGTCATTTATGCAGTTTCAACAAATATAGATGCATGAGAATCACTCTGGGCTGTGCTTCTCAAGGGTTAATGTGCAAAGACTTAGCTTGATTCAGTATGTCCGAGGTGGAGCCTGAGATTCTGCATTCCTAATGGGCTCCCAAGTGACATCGATACTTCTGGTCCCCAGACAATACTTTGAGTAGCAAGATCTAGAGAGAGTGGTTCAAGTGGGTATGAGGCAGGAATTGGGCATCTTTAATCTTTAAAAATATCTTCAGGTGATTCTCATATGCAGCAGCGTTGAGGCTCACAGCCCATTGGTGGCTGACTTGTAGCAACTTTCTGAGGAAATTTGCAAATGCTCTCCTTGGCTTGCACACCTTACTCTCCCTCCCTCCTGGTATTGCTCCTTTTCTCTGGTGCCTCTTTTCTGGTATCCTCAGGTGGCTTCTCCTCCAGCTCTATTTAGTGTTAAAATTCATCAGGTTTAAGCCCTCTATTTCTTTTTACTCTATGCTGTCACATTTTCTGTCCTCATAGCCTTGATTTTGAACCATAGATCATCACCTTCCAATTCTAAATGTCTGGCTGGGCTGTTCCTTCCTTCTGAATGTCAGATCTGGGTAGTCAACTCTCTGTTAAACTGAATGTCTTGCAGATGATGATAGACATAAGTGATCTCCTTGCCCCAACCTGTTCCGTTCTCAGTGGTCCTCATAGCAGTAGCATCTACCCCAGTTGCTCAAATCACCTTTAACTGCTCCCTCTCTTGCACCTCCACCTCCAAACCTCTAGATTTTTCTATCTTTATATCTTTTGAATCTGCCTCATTCTCTCCATTTCCACTTCCAACTCTGAGCTCTGTCTATCATCATCTCCACTGGACCAGTGTCCCTCCTGGTCAGCCAGGCTCTTCATCCACTCTTGTTTCCCCATTCCATCCCACCCTGTTGTCATAGTGATGATTTCAAAATCTGATCCTCTCCCCCTCATGCACACAGAGAGTTTAAATCCTTCAAAAGCTTCCCTTTCCCCTTAGAACAAAATGACAGAGAGAGGAGATAAATAGATCCAGGGTGAAAAAGAGGCGGGTTTGGGTGGGAGTGAGTGGGTAGAGAAGGGAGAAAGCAGATCAGATGTCAAAGCCACTCTGGGTTTCTAGTTGTCAATTAACTTACTTGGATCTCCCTGGGATATTGGTTCCAAAGACTGTGTGCTTAATTCTTCTTTTGGAACAAATCCTGGAAAGAGCAGTAACACTTTTGGTGACTTACAAGAACAGGAAGCATCTGGCCTTACTCTGGGGATGGGGACATAATGGATATTCACAACCAGCTCAGAGGGCTTGGCTTACTGTTAACTATGCTCAATTCCACACCACCCCCATCTTAAGAGATAAGAGTAAATTAATATTTACTGACAGTCTACTAAAGACAGTACTCAGCTAGTGCTCGGGGGGCGGGGGGGAGGAGGGTTGAAATCAGAAGACTTGAGTTCTGTCCCATAATGCCTTTTAACTTATTCTATTTGAGTCTCAGTTTCTTTATCTGAAAACTTGAAGCACTCTGCCAGCGCAATTTATCCCTCTGTAAAATTCTGAAAATCTCGAGGTCAGGGCATGTACCTCACTCATCATATAAACTTACACTGTGCCCACTACATGTAGGTCCTCAGTTAACATTTGGTGATTGAGTCAGTGAACAAAGATTAGTGGGGCACAAGGAGGACAATCTAATGGGGTTGGATGTAGGCTAGAGGGGAAGGGAGAAGATACGAGTAACTCAAACAAATAAGAGGGTCTAAAACGCAACCCCTCTGAAATTAGAGGAAAAGATGCAGAGGAGTTTTGTACCTTAGGAGGCTGAGTGTGTGAGCTGAATTTCAGCCAAGGGGTTTTCTTTAGAAGCCATTTACATAAGAGGCAAGATCACAAATACATCATTTAAGGAATTAAAGACAATAAAGAAGAATCCTTTTGGCTTGTAAGCTTGATGAGTTTTGCATGCAGAGGGAAACTTGCAGAACTGGAAGTAAGTCTCCCGTTTTCAGGATGCCCAGAAATGGCCTCCGACAGTCTCCGGCAGTGGAGGAAGGTGCTGGGGGCCCTGATCTATACTGAGCTTTCTCCTGGCTTGTTAGTTTTTCCAGTTTGCAAAACCCATGATTTCGTCTCCTCATTAAAGGTCAGCTTGCTCAAACCACTTCCTCACATTATTTTAAAAATTCACTTTGGGTGTCTAATGGCATTTCTCAGCCAGGAGCCTCTTGGAAAACTGCCTAAGTCTCCATGTTGGAGGGAGGGGAAGAAACGCAAGTCCAGAGGCCAGGTCTCGTCCTCTACTTCTGTCTCTCGCCTCCCAGTAAAATCTGCCCTGACACCAAGAGCCAAAAGGCCATGTTTACTATTGGAGTTTTATATACTTAGCACAGTAAACAGCAAACAGCACTCATTCAGGTGAAGGGAAAACCTGAATCCCATTTGCAAAAGAGGGGGAAATAGAAGGAAATCAAAGCCTCTCTAGACGGAACAGGGTCTCGACCCACTGTGGGGGCAGAGAACTCACTCCCTCTGGCCCTGTGTCTTCACAATTTGCTTTTCCTTGTTGTTATCCAGTGTTGTCCCTTACCCCAAGCCTCCCTGTGGGAGTTCCCAGGTGCCCTGTGCATGGTTGTTAGACCCAGTTGTGGGAGGCAAAAACCCTAAGAAAGCCTGCTCTCTATGAACTTGGCCTCTGCACCCCCATCTGGATTATTAAACTCCCCCTAGTTCTGTAATCCTGTGACTCGTGGGCTTGTCGGGTGAGGAGGTTAGGCTGTATAATTACCTGCGTCTAAAAGGACTGATCCAGGTTTCCACAAGTCTGTTTCCCCTGATTTTCAAAATTAAAAAGAAACGTGTTATTTAGATGAAACCAGCAGAGGCTCTCAAGTGAACTCCCAGGATGATAATATTTTTCATTTGTGGCAGAAAGTTCAGTAAAGGGGCAGGGGACCATACTTATGGATGAAGCAACCTGAAATGTGTGGGATTTTATTTTTAAAAGTCTTAAAGCCAAAGAAAAAAACATTTTGCCTTTTTCTTTCATTCACTGTGCACTGAAATCATGGAATAATATAAATCCTGGTATTCAAGGGACCTTAAAAGGTTGTTCAATCTAAACAAACCTCCAAGCATGCTTCTACAACATCCCTACCAAAGTGAGGGGGTGGCTAGTGCTTGAATACCTCCAGAGACAGGGAACTCATTGCATACACAAAGTAGTGCATTCTTTCTTGGACTATTGAGACTTTGAGAAAATTTTTCAATGTATTGATCTGAAATCTTTATCCATCCCTCTATTCACCCATTCGTTCATCCACCCATCCATCCATCCATCCATCCATCCATCCATCCATCCATCCATCCACACTTATTAAGCACCCAATATGTGCCCAGTATCATTCTGTTTAATGGTGAGAGCTAAGTTTAATTTAGCTCAGCGAATAACCAGATATATGACCTTGAACAAGTCACGTGCCCTCTGTGTACCTGAATTCCTTTGTGAATAACATTAGCAGATTGGGTGAGATGATTGCCAAGTTCAAAATATTTATGATTTATGTTTAAACCTTCTTCTTTAACTTATATCTCTATTGCCACCTACTGGTAAAAATATGAACTTTGCCCTTTTTCTACAAAAAGGTCCTGGTTAACATCTCGGTTTTTGCCCAAGGCTTTCAGCACCCCTGAATGTTATGAAGAAATTAGAATACTGGGTGCTCTAATACTTTAGCGGGAGACAGACAATTCCCTGACATCAGGAGTTTCCAAGCCTCGTACTCCTGTCCCAAAAACAAATTCATGCCACTTGAATTTGTTGGAACAAGTTTGAAACAAATCACTTTTAACCAAAAGCCGAGGGCCAAAAAAGTATTTGGTCAGCTGAGACTTGGTGTTTTTGGACTTGGTAGTAATGAGAAAAACGTAAATTTGGTGTTGAGGAGTAATGGGTGGTGTGGAAAAAAAAAAAAAAGAAGTTAGAAGACCTGTCCTGTGTCGACCAAACACTAGCTGGGGGCTCGGGGAGCTTGTCTACCTGCCCTGATCTTAAATTTTCTCCTCTGTGAAACTGAGGTCCTAAGTCTTGTCCTGCCCTGCCTTACATGGCAGTAAATGAGTCCAGAATCACTCTGAAAGTACAAGGCACTCCTAAAATACAGAGAATTATTTTTGTGACAATCTTTGCTTAGACATCTCATAGATACAGTCAGTGTCTAAGAGAATTATTGGTTCTGAATGATTTTCATAGTGAAAATGTAGAAACCATTCACAATTCCTGAGAGCGTGCTTAGGGTCAGGGGCTGACCAAGCACTTTACAAGGTTAAGTCACAGTAACCCTGGGAGTTAGGTACAACTATGATCCCATTTTCACAAGTGAGCAAACTGATGCACAGGGAGTGGCAGAGCTAAACTTGCCGCTCAGCAAGCAGGCTCCAGAGCCTGCACTAAACCTCCGTTTATCACACATGAGGAGCTGTTGTGGCTTTAGCGTCTCGGGTTCTTTGTTAGGCCGCCGGAGAGCACACCACCTGGCACACGACCTGTAATGTGAGGACCCAGCACCATCCCTGCTCTGAGGCCTCGGTGCTGATCTTTGCACTGGTTACACAGTTCCTTCTGTCCCCTGTACATCTGGAAGTCACCAGCAAGGGGCCGAAGTAGGAGTTGCAACACTTGGCCTTAAGGCTCTAAAGTTTTATGGGACAGAAGCACAGATGGCCCTTCGGCTTCCTGGTTTTTTCCCACTGACTCCCTCTGGGCTGCAGTTTTTAGGAGGTGGCCGTTGGAGAGGCAGTTAGGGGAATCTCCACAGGTCCCGTCCCTTGGCCTGCCATGAGGGCTGTACGTTTCCCTTGGAGAACTTCCTCTTGTTGTAGTGAAACAGGAAGCACTCAGAGCGGCTGCAGCTGTGCTGATGCCGTTGCCATGCCAGCAGCCCATTCCACAAGGCCTGTCGGAGAACACCCAGGACAGTCTGAGGTCCTGGGCACAAGCCATCACACCGCGAAGCATCGACAGGCCCAGCTTTACAAATGGGTCACCCTCCAAAACTCGGGGTGCGGTATCTGTTTGGGACCTGGCAGCCTTTTCTCATGGAAACATTAACTCTGTGGGTAGGTTTCCAGGCCAGTGAAGCTATTTGATCAAAAAGAGCTCATGGCACCATGAAGCCAGACAGCAAAAGGATGGTTCTGAGGAAAAGTCACCGAGTTCTAACTTAAATCCTCAGGAGCCCGCCACCTCTACCTCTCCTAGGAACACAGCAGGAGCAGCCATGCTGCCGCAGGTGGCTCCTGTCCCGACTCAGAGTGCCCCGGTGGGGGCGGGGGTGAGCCAGTGGGGCCTGCTTTTGTGCAGTGTGTGGGTGTCTTCCCTCCACCTGCAGGTGCTAAGGGGGCTTCATGAATAGCTGAGGTCTGAGCGCTCTTGGGCTAGGAGAGGCTCCCAGGCCAGGGCTCCCTGGCACTTCGTAGGAGGGTCTCAGGTGCTCAGAGCAAACTTGCAGTGATGATGGAAGAGAGAGAGGAGCAGCAGAAATGGGCCAGATCGGAGGATAAGAAAGGAGCTGGGAGTATCGGTGTGTGTCAGTGAGACAGAGTATAATTATTGGGAGCATGAAGAGAATGGAGAAGCAACGGAGACTCATTCACAGCTAGAGAAAGAGGTAATGAGGTTAGAAAAAGGAAGTGTGGTCAAATTCTGAAAGCAACCTTGAGTTGTTGGGCAGTGAAAAGCAAGAGCTGGAGATGAGGTGCTATGCCTCGTCACCAACCATCCCCCTAGGCGTGGGTGCTTGTGCTTTGTCCTGGGATGGGCCAGGTGGGTGCATAGGCTGCCCAGGTGGGGGGCCTCTCAAGCAGAGAGCCCTCGGGTATCTGGACTGGCAGAAATATTCTCTTTGACACAGTGAGAATAGACAAAGCCAAGAGATGTCTCGAAAACTTGAGTGACCTGGCGTTGAGCCACAGAGGCCAGCAGCGTGTGTGGGGGACGGTGTTTGCCAGTGCAGCAGAGCAGGGGTGCTGAGCAGTGGGCAGCCTTCCCAGGCTGACATGCACTCCAGCAGGTTTCTGGAGAGCAGCTCCCAGAGCATCCTGCCTCTGGATACCTGAGGGGCTTATACGGGGTCAGCTGATCTGCAGGCAACCAGCAGTCTTATTTTGCCCCCTGATAAAAGTGCCCCTAGTTCAGATTTTTCTTGAAAGTCAGCCAAGCTCTGTGCTTGGCTCTACTTTTGGGGGTTGCAGAGGAGGCAAAGATCCTGGCCAAGGGGACGAGAGGGAAGGACTGCCTACGCTTGGCTGCCTGAACAGGCCCATGGGCCTGCTAAGGCCTAAGGTGGCCTTGGAGTCCTTGCCCTGCCCAGCAATCTGATTTGTAAGCCCTTTTCCCAGAACAACAGCATATATATTGGCAAAGGTACAACTGTGAAGCATGTAGAAGCTGCTCGTCCCACCCAGGGGTCCCTGTGGAGCCCCTGCTCAGATCTGTCATCAAAGCAAAACAGAACCTACAGTCTCTAGGAATCTTTTAACATATGGAGAATAGACAGGTATCCCCCAGCAAAAGAAAAACCTGACTCTTCTCCTTGGAGGTCTGGGCTCCCGTCCTAGTGCCCTGTGGCTGCAAAGAGAATCGTGTACTTCTATCAAGTCTACGGGCTCAGGGCCCAGAGTTAGTGGAAAGCATCTAAGCTCACTTGTTTTTCCTTTCTAATCATGGCAGGTCTCAACAGCATCACAGAGAAGAGAATTTGCTTCATCCCTTTGCGCTCCCTGTACTTGGGACAAACCTTTAAGGGTTGCACATAGAAGTGTAGAAAAGGGAGACAGAAAGTGTCATAATTCATAGCAGAATTCCTGGAGGAGAGAGAATGTATTTCTATCCCCCATATCATAGAAGTACCGGAGTGAAATCAGTTCTGCCCTTTCCTGGGAAATGGTAAACATTTCTCTTTTACCCGAGTTCCTCAAGGATAAATCCCAGAGAGTATCCCTTCTCAGGCTTGTAAGAGCCTAGGTACTGAATTCTTAGGAATTTCTATCACAACCTTCACAAATCGCCTCGAGGGAACGATGATGACTGAAAGCTTTGCTTATTTAAAAGCTTCCTTACTTTGCTTACAAGTTTCCTTACAAGTTGGGCCCTTGAGTAATATTTTTTTGTTGGCATAACTGGTTTAATGCTCTCTGTCCAAATCTAAATCAAATAGCAAGGTTTTGGAAAGACAAACCCCATGTAAACAAGCTTAACTTTATCAATAGCTAGAAAGGTGAGTTCAGGTTCTTACCTGGATTGCCGCGGGGGCTGTTTTGGCTGCTTGTGTAGGTGATGGTGGACCAGAGATCTGTAATAACATTTGACTGGTCAGAGCATGAATTTTAATCTAACTGTTCTCATTCTTTCCATGATCTAACCTAACAAGGCATTACCAAGGTCAGAACCAAGGTAATGTTTTCTCTTTGGGCGGTCTGGACCTGCCCTGGAGGAGACATTGAATTGGTTGGGGGTGAAGATGGGGGTGGGGATTTAACTCAAAACACTGAGTGAAAATTCCAGGTAAGAATAACCCTTGTATTTCACATCTTTTACTAAAGTGCCATATTTCTTTCTACTCCATTACTCTTAAAATAATTCTCTTCAATTGTGCCACTCCTGAGGAGATCAAAGTAATCCTTCAATAGAAATGTCATTTAACATTTAGCAATTTGCTTAAACTGTGTTAACATGGTATTGATGCAAATAGTACTAATGTTCAGTCATTTTTAAAGGTACACAATGGGTTATCCTTAATTACTCAGTGAGAGAATCAAATACACTTCAGCATTCATTATTTATTGGGCAATTTCTCTGAAACAAGGTTTTAAAAGGGAGGAGGGAGATTCTGTAAAGAGAGATGCAAAGTCCCTTTGGGGAAATAGGGGGCCACGTGAAAACCAGCTGAGGGTAAAAACCAAGTTTCATGGAAGGGAAGAGATAAGAGGTCATAGAAAAACATCAGTTTCTCTATCAACCATCAACTTTTTATTCCTTATGTCTTTGTTCCATTACTTGGACACAAATTCAAAATAGCTTTATCTTCTCTCTGATTATAAAGACAACATGTGCCTGCTATAAAAATATATACTATGGATGGTAAGAAATCACCCACAGTGCAATCTCTCTATCTTAATATATAATCTATACTAGTAGACAATTTTGGTGTATAGTGTTTTAACCCCTTTCCTATGCAACGTTCTCAGGTACAGCATGCAATTACAAACATGAGATTGGCACCCACGCTGTTTGGTAGCCTGCTTCTTTGACCTCATAGTCTGTCACAGGTCAGTCCTCTCCTGTTGGTAAATGCACCTAGTCATCAAAAATTTAATAGCTGTATAGTAGCAAGAATGCTTTAACTGTTCCAGTGATGGACAATTAAATCATCTTCATTTAGTTTTCTATTAGGAACAACATCTGTGTCCAGGTTTCTTTTCACCCTTGGCTGGTAATTACCTTAGGATGTATTCTTATAAGTGCAAATGCTGGGTCATTCTCCACACACTTTCCATAACTGTGTATTACCACTTTCCAATGCAAACTGGTGAAAATTGACATCTTATTGCTTAATTTGCATTTATTTTATTCCTGGTGAGATTGGACATCTCTCGTTATATTTTTTGGCCATTTATAGTTCTTCCACTGTTGCTTTCCTGGTCATGACCTTCACGCATTTTTCTTTTGGAATGTTTGTCTTATTATTTGTAAGACCGGATTTTAAGAAAAACCTTAAGGAAATAAAACTTTCTGAGATGAACTAAATGTTGGTGAGAAGGGAAATTGCATGAAGAAGGGATGGGCAGTTATAGATGCTGATCTCCTTCCTGTCCCAGGTTTCACCACTTCCTCTTCCCTAGCTGCCCAAGGTCAGAGGGCAGAGTGGAGTAGAAAAGTGAATGATCAGCCATCACCATGCCTTGCCACTAGGCGGCGCTCTGCGCCCCTCCCTGGTCTACTCTTCCACGTGGACACATTCAAGCTGTTAGATCAGCTGAGGCGGCCATGGCCTTTCTTAAAATGAGCCTAACCAGGAAAACAATGCTGGGCCTGGAGGGATTTTCCATCTTTTCCAGAATCTTCCTCAGCATATCTATGAATGTGGTTCTCCAGGCTGCCCACTCTGGCCCTGAGATGCAGCTCTGCAGCCTCCTGGCTCCTGCGGGTGCCGAGGTAGTCTTTGGCCTTTCCCAAGAAGAGTAGCCTCGCTCGACCCATAAGTCTCTGCCATTCTGGCTCTTGGTGCCCTCACCCTACTCCCAGCCTTGACTTGTTCCTTAATAGCTTTGTACATTTATGGGTCAGTTCAGGGGCCATGATGAGGCCTTAGTATCCAGCCTTGTCTTTCTTGGAGTCCTTTCACCTGGATCAGCTCCTCTTCATGGGCCAGGAGAGACCCTGTCTTTTCTTGCTACTGTTTTTCTACTCTCTGCTGGACTCTCCCAAGTTCCTGTGTCCTGTCTGAGAGGCAGCTCTTGACCTCGTTGTGGAGCAAAGATGATTCATAGACCCCAAATGCGGGTTGCTCTGTTCCAGCTACACACTTCTCAGGTGTCCTAGGGTGAAGTGACCTGCTGCAGGGATCTTGGTGGAATGTGTTCACCGATGTAGCCCAGGATCCTAGAATGATGCTTGACACATAGCAGGACTCAATAAATATTGGCTGAATGACTCAATGAATTAGGTGTTACTTGAATACTCTCATCCACAACCACTGCTAAAATCTTTTAACTATAATCGCATATATAAGAGAAAAAAAACACTCTTGATAAATGCAATAACAGCCACTCACTTGTCTATCAGCAGTAGGAGAGTTACTCTCTTATAATTGGCAGAATATTTTCAGCTCATTTGAAGAAAAAAGGAGTTACCTATGCATTAAATATTATTTAACATAGTTGAGTGAAAATATCACAGCGAATACCTATAGCCATATATTAAAATAGGCATTCATGAAAGTAGGTTGGTGGTTACCAAGGGCTGAGGGAAGGGAAGGGACATTATGAGTGACTTAATGGATATAGGTTCTCTTTTCGGAGTGACGCAATGTTGTGGATTTGATTGTGGTGGTAGTTGCACAACTCTGTGAACACACTACAAACCACTGAATTCACATTTTCAGTGGGTGAATTGTATGGCATGCAAAAAGTATCTCAATAAAGCTGTTATTAAAAAAAGACATAGGCATTCACACATCAATTTTCACTTCTCTTCTTTCCTACAGAAAATCCTTTGAGTAGCCACACAAGTTTTTAAAATCCTCTTCCCTTCCTCCCACCCAGTTTGGCTCCTTTCTTAGCAATTACGGTACATGCTGCATGGAGTGCTTGCTCTGGGTGTATTTGCCTAACAGTCTGTGGGGCGGCATAGGCGTGGGTGCTGGACGAGGATGAAGAGGGAACACTGATGGACTGAGAGGCTGTCGTCCAAGGCCCCTGTCCCCAGGCCAGGAAAAATGAAGCTTTGCCAGGTTGGGAGCCACTACTTCAGGTTGCTTGAGGTTTTCTATAAGCACAGGCCCAACTTGCAACAGAATTTCCAAGTGCCCAGTGTAGCCAAGTAAATATGCCACATGTTTAATTATATGAGTTATGTGAAAAATTGATGTCCACTAAGGAGACACCAGGAGCAAACAACTTACTCGGCTACTCGAAAATCTTTGGAAGAATCGAGGACTCTAAAAGTTAAGAGCCTGAAATTAAGAAAAAAGAAAACTTCTTCTTGTGAGACCCCTGTCATTCAGCATCCTTCCCATTTTCTCTTTCGCTGTCAGGCATAGTGTGTCTGTGTTTATATTCGCCTTAGTTGAACAAGAATAGGATGGCGGGGAGATGTATTTCAGAAATTATTTTTATGCTATTTTTATTCAGGGATTTTATATCACAGCTTCTTCTAGGAGTGGTTCATTGAACGGAATAATAGAAATCTCTATTTCATAGGGTCGTTGGGAAGATTAAATAGAATAATGCTCGAAGGGCACCTGGCACAGGGAAAGCATGGGCTATGCACATCCCGTCATTATTTATTATTAATTGCAATGGGAAAGAGCTGTGTCCACCACTCTCTAATTTTGCCAACACATCCATGTCAAAGTGGGTGAGGCCCTGCTCGTGTGACTCTTCATTAGTGCCTGGGATGTTGGTTTATGTCAGGGGTGTCTCCTGCAAGGGGCGTCACAGGAGGACCAGGCTGCTGGTGTTTGAATCCCAGCTCTGCTCCTGCTCAGTTGTGGGACTTGGGGTCAGTTTCCTCACTGCTCTACTCCTTGGTTTCCTCATCAATATAATAGTCAAATGAAAAGTAATGTATCTACTTGATAAGGTTGTTATGAGGGTTTAATAGGCTCATATTTGAAAGATGCTCGGGAGAGTGTGCAGCATATTGAAAGTGCATAGTGAATAAAAAGATGGATAGAGAGCTAGCTGGGCTCTGATGTGGGGTGGAGGAGGGGGCAGAGGAAGGCCATGCTATGAGGCGGTAACGTTTGGAAGATGGAAGTGAGGCCGAAAAGAGCAAGTCCTGGGTACTTTCTCCTTGAAGGAGAAAGTGGCACCAGGTGGGAAATATTTAGAAAAAAATTGCTGAGACAGTAGTGACAATTCAGCTGTGGAATCTTCCAGCCCCTTGCCAGAAGGCCTTTAGAAATGAGGTGGGTGCTTATTAGCCCAGGACGGCTTACATATAAGCTATTTAGAAACTAGAGACTGGATTATCGATGAGTGCTTAAGGTTGTGTATTACAGAGATTAATTCCATAAACTGGACTTGGGTAAAACCTAAAACACGTTTGAAGAAACGGGTACAAGTGGTAAGACAAAAAGCAATCAGAAAAGGACTAAAAATTTTAGCTCTCTGGCTTTTGCTAAAGGTTCTTTTGGTTTTGTTTGTTTCTACTATTTGAAGACTTCCAGGAGTTTGTAATTTGTCACTTAAAACTCAACAGTGTTTATATAGAAACCCACTATTCATTCGACTGAGCTTTTGTAGAAATGGGGATTACATAATGGGAAAGTTTCACATAATACCCTATCTTCAAAAGTATGGTAACAACAGTCCTATTATTGAATCTATTTTAAGCTCCATCTACATGATTGGCTTAGTTCTTGGCTTTGTCTTGAATTATTATTATTGGGCTCAAGTTTACTGCTTAAATTTTGGAAGACACAACCTCATACCCCTGGCCCAGGTGTCAGGCATTCCCCCCTTACTCAAAAGGTGGAAGATGGGCACTTCATACAGGCATTCAGACAGAGCTGTTACTTTAGAACCCAATCTCCCACTTTATTAGCACGTGGAAATACACAGCCTACCTACTTACCCAGTTCCCAGCTCCTGTGGCCCACGGGCTGTAGTCTGGGGCTGCTGGTGGTAGAACCTGCAGACAGGGATGGCTTTGGCAAGGTGGTGTGGGTGGCTTTTACTAGGGTGGTCCCTGGTACCTGCATCAAGGTGACTGGCTCTGCAGTTGTCCCTGGAACTGATGGATTCTGATAGGCTTTTGTGGTCTCACCTGTAAGAAAATGAAATTACACTGGGGCCTACAAAACAGCCGGCAGACTCTTCAGGAAAGAAATAAATGTTTATTGGACACTAGTTATGAGCAAAGACCTGTGCCAGCCACTGTGGAGGCTGAAATCTACCTGCCCCAAAGGAATGTACAACCCAGATAGAGCAATAAGCCGAAAGAGACACAAGAATAAATAACAATAAAGTACTTAAATGACAGTTCAAACTGCAGCGACATAGACAAGGCAGAAAGTGATTAATTGCCAAATTAATTTTCCAGACACTAGAAGGGTCATGAACATACTTTTTTTGCTGTTTCAATTAGCATTGGTCTAGGGAGAGAAGATACTTTCAAGGCATTCACTTTTAGAGACTATATTCTGGATTTCTAGTTTGGGTTGGCTCATGACTAGTCAACTAATTCTTCTGGGCCCCAGTTTCCTTATCTATAAAGTGAAGTAATAGAATGAATTAGATTGTAAGGATCATGTTGATTCTACTTCTAAACTATGCTCTTCATCTGTGTGTGATGATTTAAATTGCTTCCATAATTTTTTTCATATTCAGACATTTTTAAATTAAATTTATTGGAGTGTCATTGGTTAATAAAATCACGTAGGTTTCAAGTGTACAATTCAATAATACATCGTATGTGTTTTGCATTGCGTGTTCACCACCCAAAGTTAAATTTCCTTCTGTCACCATATGTCTGATCCTCTCTACCCCTATGTACCTTCCCCCTCTCCCCCTACCCTCTGGTAACCACTAAACTGCTGTCTGAGTCCACAAGTCTCCGCTTGTTTGTCTTGTTCATTTGTTCCTTTCAATTTTATATTCCACATATGAGTGAAATCACATGGTTCTCAACTTTTTGTCTGACTTATTTCAGTTAGCATGATAATCTCAGGATCCACCCATGTTGTTGCAAATGACAGTATTTCATCTTTTCTTATGGCTGAGTAATATTCTACTGTATATATGTACCACATCTTCTTTATCCAATCATCTATTGTAGGGAACTTCAGTTTCCATGTCTTGACCACAATGAATAATGCTACTAGGAACATTGGGATGCATATATCTTTATAAATGTTTTTAAATTTGAGGGTAAATATCCAGAAAAGAGATTGCTAGTTCATATAGTAATTCTATTTTTAACTTTTTGAGGAATTTTCATACTGTTTTCCATACTATCTGTACCAATTTACATTCCCACCAGCCGTGTATGAGGTTTCCTTCTTCCCCACAATCTCTCCAGCACTTGCTATTACTTGTCTTGTTAATAATAGCCATTCTAACGATTTGCATTTCTCTAATAGCTAGTGAGGATGAGCATCTTTTCATATGTCTGTTGGCCATTTGTATGTATGTCTTCTTGGGAGAGGTGTGCGTTCAGGATCTCTGTGCATTTTTTAATGGGATTGTTTGTTTTTTTGTTGAGTTGTATGAATTCTTTGTATATTTTGGATATTAGACCCTTATCAGAGGCATTGTTTGCAAATATCTTTTCCCATTCAGATGATTGACTCTGCCTTGTTGATGGTTTCTTTTGCTCTGCAGAAGCTTTTTAGTTTGATATAGTCATATTCATTTATTTTTGCTTTTACTTCCCTTGCTTTGAAGTCAAAAATCACAAAATCCTCTCTAAATCCAAGGTCCACGAGTTTAATATCTATGTTTTCTTCTACGCTATTTTTTGTTTCAAGTCTTATATACCAAGTCTTTGATCCATTTTGAGTTAATTTCAATGTATGGTTACAGAGAGCAGTCTAATCTCATTCTTTTGCATGTAGCTTTCCAATTTTCCCAGCACCTTTTATTGAAGAGGTTTTCCTTTCTCCATTATATGTTTTTGGATCTTTTGTCAAAAATTATTTGCCCATATATATGAGAGTTTATTTCTGGACTCTGTGTCTGTTTTTATGCCAATACCATGCTGTTTTGATTATTGTTTCTTTGTAGTATAATTTGAAGGCAGAGTGATATCTCCAGCCTTGTTCTTTTTTCTCAAGATTATTTTTGGCTATACAGAGTCTTTTGTGCTTCTATACAAATCCAATTATTTTTTGTTCTACTTCTTTAAAAAATGCCTTTGGGATTTTGACAGGGATTGCATTAAATCTGTATATTGCTTTGTGTAATAATGTCATTTTAACCATGTTGATTCTTCCAATCCATAAACATGGAATATCTTTCCATTCCTTTGTGTTTTCTTTAATTTCTTTTAATAATGTCTTATAGTTTGCAGTGTATAGGTCCTGCACATGCTTCATTAGGTTTATTCTCACTGATGTACTCACTCGCTCTGAGCTCCAGTGCAAGTGCCTACCCAGTGGGCATTGGGGACTGTCTTCAGAACCGTGGGTCTGTGCCAGGAGGAGATACAAAATGGTCCCCAAAGTGAAGAGTGCCCCAGTCCTAGGAGGGAACAAATGCCTGCTGGATCCCACGGGGGTTATGCCAGCATCTGTATTAGTTTCCTAGGCTTGTCCTATGCGAACTCATTACATACCTCATAGTTACATGTGAGGGCAGGAAATCTAATATTCACTGAGTAACTACTATGTGCCAGATACTATGAAGGCCTTTTTTACATAAGCATTTGCATTTGAACCTTAATCACAATCCTAGAGGTCGATGCAAGTATCCCCATTTTTAAGATAAGAAACAGATTTTCCAAGAGGTCCAGAAATGTGTCTAAGGTCACAAACATAATAGATAGAGAGCCAGGATCTGGGCTCACACTTGTTTGATACCAAATTCTATACTTTTTTCTTCAAAAGGGAAACAAAGGGGAAACCAAGTCATGAGTAGCTTCAAGATTCCTGAATGTGGATTCCATCAGAGAGTGGTCTCTCTAGCATTCTGGTAGAAGTAGTCTTACCCTCAAGACAAAGGGAAGAGATGGCTTTGGTGGGTATAGGCAATGAGGGCAAAAGGTCCCTGGCAAGTCAAACTTAATACCATAAACTCGGGCTTGATTTTCTTCTGTGGCAGGGTGAGCTGGTCAAAGGGGATTTTCCCGACACTCTTGCTCAGCAGCCTTGAATAAAGATTTACTTTCCCTTCTCTTATTGCCGTGCCAGCCATGTGCCTTCGCAGCTTTAACTTCTACAACCCAACACTTACCTATTTTTATTTAGTTCAGAGTAGCTTGAGGCTCTAGCCACATAACAGCTGCCCATCTGTGGTTGCTTACTGCCTGGGGGAACAGCATTTAAATTTC